TGTTGTTCTGAGTCGTCCTTAATTTTTGGTGATTTTTTGAATTTTCTCTCATTGGATTGCATTGAACTTTCCGTCCAATGCATTCCAATGAGAGAAAATTCAAAAAAAATCACCAAAAATTAAAGACGACTCTGAACAACACCAAATTAAGTTTGCATAGGGTTCAGGAGGTGGGCTAACGATTGCAAGCATTTAAAACCTGTTCCAAACATTGTAAGGCACTTTTACAGGAGCGAAAAAGGACTTTGCAAAGCCATTGAAATGTATTGAGTCGGCTTCAATACATTCCAATGGAGGAAACATTGTTTCACTCAACGATGTTTCCTATGGGTTTTTTCACTTAAAGACGGCAATCCGTTCCAATTGGATTAACCGGTTTTCAATGCATTCCTATAGGAAATGGTGTTTCACAGAACGATGTTTCACACAACGTTGATTTTTTTGGAACCAATTAACATCGTTGTGTGAGGCACCACTGTACTTAGTTTAACTGATTACCGTCAGGCTCTTTCACCACAACCACTTCTTGTTCTTCGTGATTATTGCCTCTTGTTTCATTGATGTTTTCAAGTTCTTTCCAGTAGTCATCCATGGATAATTCATCCAGTGAATCCTGAGAACCTGAGCGATTATACGGGGGTTTTCCTGAGGGCTTCTTAGAGTTGTCATGGTTCATTGTGTACTGGCCAGATCTCCGGCTAGAAAATGCATACAACCAAAAACAGACCCTTAATAATTTTCCACCACAATCAAAACCATTAAAGTAACAGCACTGATTCACCCTACTTACAAATTTCATTACAACTCGCAGCCATTTCATAAGGCTTTATGCCATGTGATAAAACCGACATTTAAAAGCAATAACTTATCTTCTAAACCTTTTTTCTAAAAATGAATTTTGAGCAATACTTGACAAAAGCTTCAAAGTTTTGAGAAGCACTGAATGTATTTACAAAATTACAACATATAGTGAAAGGAGAGAAATTCCAATTTCTCAGAAGTCTAAATTTATTTTCAAAAAATATTCCCACTGGTTTAAACAACAGTTTAGGACTCCCATCAGTGTTTGTAAAGAGACCATTCTGGTCAGAGCAAGGCAACAGCTAGTTGAATCATCCAGCACTTTGTGAGTATATTAAGAGATAAACACTTTAAATATGGATAAACTCTCCTGGGATGATTTGTGCTAAAACACAGAAAACAAGTTGAGCATAAGGTCATCCTTGTGTTTACAACTGAGACAGGATTTTATCTCAAGCTGTTTCCACTAAAGAATGTAGCTTTCTATAGGAACCTTATTATTGCTACTAACAGCACTGTCAAAGCCAAGGATTTAAAAGCTTAATTATTCCATTGCTAACTTCATATGTAGGATCTCTTTCCACATTTATAAAATATTTGTTTTGGTTTCTTCTTAATTTCCTGCTCTATCAAATATTCCTGCAATTTGAACAAGATATTGTACTTAATTAAGACAATACATTACATATTGAAGAAACAGGTATCACCTCTGTTATACTGAGTTCAAACTAACAATTTCAAAATTATCCATCTGCTATTTACAATCTGTGAATTTTCACAGCTACTGCTGTTCTACTTGGTTGTGTTGTTATGCACCATCAAGTGTCATTCAACTTCGAGGGTTCCTAACAGGGTTTTTAAGGTATGTGAGATATTTAAGGATTGGTTACACCAGTATCACTGCATAGTAATTTTCCATGGCCAAACAGGAACCCAGGTCTCCTTGACTCCATCACTCTGTCCACTGTATCACACTGGCTCTTCCTACTTTGTTATTAGGATATAATCTGTGTAATTATATCTAGCATTTGTAGGCATGGAGAATGATTCAATGCAGATACCTGTGTTGCCATACACCAGGAATACTTTTACATTTCTCACATGCATAGAACAAAAGGGGCCACAATCCAGTCACAGTTAAGGTTTTCAATTTAGAATGTTTATATCAAGTTAGAGAGCACACTGAATGAATTTGCATCTGCACTTTTAGCTTATGCATCACAACAGACAAAATATATGTACAGTGGACCCTCTACTTACGGAATTAATCCGTATTGGAACAGTGGTTACAGGTCGAAAAGTCTGTAGGTCGAGTCTCCATTGACCTACAATGCATTGAAAACCGATTAATCCGTAACCGGCCATTTTTGTTCCATTTTTGTTCCGTTTTGGTTTTTTTCTGGTCTGTAGGTCGATTCTCTGGCTCCAAGTCGAACCTAAATTTTGTGTAACTCGAAAAGTCTGTAAGTCGAGGGTCCACTGTAGTTGTTCAGACAATACTGAACAGCACTATACATAATAGGCAAAAATGATGACTAGTTTGGTTTTGTTTTTAAATTGCATCGAACAATTTCATGTTCAATGTATTCGCGAAG